AATACTGCTATCGTTTGTATTATGGGTAAAAGTCTCATAATATTGCCAATAACATAGCTGCTACTCTAGCAACAAGAAAAATATGTGACTTTGATGATACATTTCAATTTATAAAATATCATTTATCATTAGATAACTACTTTCATGTGACAATAGCTCCTCCTGTAATGCAATGACATGGACCAAATAAACTGAATTTTATTCAATTAAAGTTTAAAATATATCAGAACAAACATATATAAAGTATGTTTTGAACCCCATAATGCTGGGATTTCCCATTTGAGTAGTATTCTATAAAAACACCATCATATCATGGATTATTTTCTTATAGACTGACAATGTAATAATTAATAGGACAGATGTGATACAGCTGTATATAGGAGAGAAAAGAGGAATTACAAAAATGTCAGTAATAGGAGATACACTGAGAAGTCTTTTTGGTGTAAGAAATACTGCAAGAACTCTTTCTTTTGTAACTGAGTGTTATCTGGACTGAACTGTGTTGGGTCCTGGGAGCTGACCTGATCTTTATTGTTGAAATACTGATGACTGATTGAAAATGAAGGAGAGGAGCACATGTTAGTTATTCTGCTGTGAATGTATATGTGTTCCTTGTTCTGTAACTCTCATCCAAATTAAAAAAGAAGAATTTTGCCATTCATTTCAGAAGACGTTGTGCAAGGCAATGTGCCTTTGTAATTGAAGCTATCTGTCTGAGTTCCATTACAATTTATTTTTTTTTTATACTAAGGGATCCCTCATGCACCTGTTATCTGGAGTTTGGCTCTTAAAATGTGTTTTGGCAGAGAATGATGTCAATATCAAGTGTAAAGATGATGTCAGTATGTTAGGATTATTGACTTGGAAGTCAATTGAAGGCATTGCTTTCATAGACAACACAAAGCGATCTCCATGCCAAAAATTTCATGTCCCTTACCACTTAAAAAAAAAAAGTGTTCTCAGACCAATGAGACCAGATGTTCCTCTGCATCCAGCTGCTCCCCACCCTGACTTGCATATTTTATATTTCCCAGAAGGCATTTAAAATCTGCAGCATCCCTGTTGAGTTTATTGCACTATTAAGTTAAAAACTGCATCAAATGTTGTGTGTTAGTTAAGAAGAAAATTACTGTAGGTGGGTTATTTTTGCAAGAAAGAGGGTACTATTCTCCTTTGCTAATATTCTAGGAGACATAATTTCAATTTCATTTATTTTTTGTAAGAAAATTATTAATAAAAGTTGTTTTCACTCATAAGATATTTGCATGGCTTCCACCTGTAACTTTCCAAACAATTGCAAAAATGAGGCAATTAACATTGAACATACAATCTTTCTGGCATAACTGGGCATTTAGGCAGAGTCATATAAATAAAAGGTACTGGGTTAATAATGAGAAAATAATGTTACAGCTGTAGGTGCACATGCTTGGAACTATTTCAGCTGGTATATACCTAGTACCAAGTTCAACACATTTTGTTGACATATTTTAGTTTAATTTAATGCTTTTGCCTTATTGTACTTTTATTACTTTGCTACTGTATTAGAGAACATCTACTAATATACTCTTGCAAAATCTCATTCACAGTGTGAGCTGAATTAGGACTTTTAAGTCACAGACTTCAAAGTTTTCATCTAAAATATTCTGTGGTGGTAAGTTTCACACACTCATCAATAAATGTAGCAAGATTTAAAAATGGATAACTTTTTTTCTGATGTGTTTCAAAACAGTCTTGATTTATTCAAGGGCAGTAGATGTTATTTCACCTGTAACAGCACGAAAAAGGTACAAGGAAGGGCAAAGCACATGTAACAAGATCATACAGCACCAACAGTAGATGTACCAGTACTCTTGGTGAAGTAATAACTCATGGTTTTTCCCTTTCCATAATCTTCCAGTGGCATTCATAGGATAATCACTATAGTTTAATCTTTGTCCTCTAAAGGTACAATATCTGGCTTTCAAAGTCTCACACTAGTCTGTGTTGTGACGCAAAGAGCAAGACTTAGTCTTGCAGTGCCACCCTGACTAATTATTTGACTGGCATTTCTTGTACTCAAGGGGAGTGCCAGGCTTTCAGTTGGATATTGAATTCTCAGAAAGCTTTGTATTTATATTTGGAAGAGTAATCACAGACTTGGCTAGCTGCCCCAAGGAAACAGGTCTCTTGAGCAACACCCAAGTGGTTGTACTTTAGACCTGAGATGGTGGAGTTTCACAGAAGTAAATACCTGTATTGTATAACACTGGAAAAATATTTTCAGGGACTTTTTTCTTTTATGAATAGATATGGCATGACTTCAAAGCTCACTATCAATTTTTCTACAGTCCCAATTGGACTGTGCTTCAGTCTCTTTCTTTCATTCTCTCTTCACTCTTCCAGTGGCTTTTGTTGTTGTCTAGCACTTCTTTAGAAATAGCCTAGGAAATACATTTAAGTACAGTAATGCATGTGTGGAGAACGAAACTTGCTCTTGTTAAACTGAACATTCACACTCAGAATAGTTTTGAGGATTGTAACTCTTGAACTTAAGCATCTATGGCAGGTAAATATTTTTAAATTATTAGTGTGGATGTGATTTATTGTCCATCACCATCATAGCTACCGGATATCTAGCTGTGCAAGCTCCAGGATAAGGTATTGCACAATGATGTCATCCCTGCACAAGGTGTAAGCATTTGGTATGATATAATTTCTGTGGACTCCTTTGAACTTGGGGTCTAGGACATGAGTCATATGAATTTCTGCTTCAGGATGTCCCCCTGAAGTGGTCACTTCAACTCTGGATCCTGCAGAGAACACTCTGAGTTTCTAGCACTAAAACAGTAATAGTAACCCAATGATTCATGCTCTACTTCTCTTTTCTACAGAGAAAAGCCATGTTGGGTGGGGAGAAATATGTCCTGCTTAATGATAGGCAAAATACTGGTATCAAGTAGCACTATACACTAAAAGTATCCTCAGCACCAACATCACCTGTCCATATTGCTTGGACATTCACAATTCAACACTGATGCCCTATGCTGTATGACCTGCTGCAGCTGGACTTGTTGCAACCCTGCCTTCTTGTACTCCTCTGGTTCCTGGTCACATGCCCTGGTAGTATTTTTCCTTTTCCAGCAAAAAGTTGGTGAATTTGGTGGGATTAGTCTCAGATTGTAGTAAAGGCAGGACTATACTAAGGTGGGAAATCTCTTTTTTGGGCCAAAATCTCTTTGGTACATCTGGCTCTTGCAGAGATCACATTATGAAGAAAATGGCATAATAAGTGTAGAAAAAAATACTGCCCCACCTTATACAAAATTCCCTGAATTTCTCCTTTCTAAAACTTTATTAGGAGCACGATGGTAGTATAATTGTGTTATTTTTGGCATCTGCTTCATGTAATATTTGACATTATTGCCACCATAAACTTTCTCTCCTTGTGTATTTTGGGTCAGCAGTGGACCATTCAGGCACAGGAGCAAACAACTACTTTCCAATCAATCCACTAATCTACAGCTGAGTTCTTAAATAACATTCAACTGGACACTAAACTGGAGTTGAATCCCAGATTCTGGTCTTCCAAACTAGAAACTGATGAACAAAAGAGAAAGGAAAAATGCAATTCAGAAAATATTTTATTGAGTACAATACCATTTCATTGTAGGCTTTTGTCAAAGGTCTACTTTATAAAATACCACCAACCTCTCTGAGGTTGAATACAGCTCGGGCAGGTACACAAGGAGTGGGAGAAGAGAGGGGCAGCATCTGCAAATTTTCATGCAAGAGGCGTAATATGGGATATTTGCATCCAAGACTATACCTTGTCATAGTGCCCAAGTTTGCACCAGTTCACCAGAAAAAAGTTAATGAATCTACATTTAAATTTTACAAAGGATTGTAACAATCAGCTACAAGATCAAATTTACTGGGTGTTGCCACTGCACATTTGACAACTAAACTCAAGATCATAAAATGAAAATTAGGACCTCAGAATGAAAGTACTGTAGGAAGCCTTGTGCAGAAATAGGATTAGCTCCTATTCCAGAAATTGATGATTAACAAGAAATCATAACCGCTGTAGATAAGGACAGCTTCAATTTTTACCAATGTACTAACATCTAACTTCCATTTTTACCAAATGGAAAACAAGGAAAGTTCCCGAAATTTGGGTTAATCCCACAACACGTCTAATCAAGACTTGGCATAAAGGTTCTTGGAAGGAGATTAAACAAACAGTAGTCCATAGGCAATTTTCAGTTGCATGAAACAACTTCTCAGCTCACATAAAACAGCCTTAAGTGGGGTACAAGTGTGGTAATATTTATATGAATTAAATTGATGCTTACTGAAATGTAGACCAGCTAATTTTTCTGGTGTGAGTGTTCATTTTCACTGATGGCAAAGCATAAATGTGCTATAAAATGTAGGAACAGTCTTAAGCAGCCTTGAAAAAGTCTCTATATTGCTTAAATTCTCTCAACCCTACTTCTTTATGAAGTATATATACATTCAGAGACTGTAAGAAGTTTTCAGCTTGACCATATTTCTACAGCTAATTGGATTTTATGAGCTAGTCCCTACAGAACCTTTAAAAATGTGCCACGAAACCTGCACTGTACTGCCAAAGAATTTGAGGAGCACTTAGAAGAGTAAATACGAAGGTAAGGTAAGTATAGCAGTTAACATGTCATATTACACAGACACTTCCATTGTCATTTGGGTGTGCATGTCCCAACACGCGTAAGAACCACTAATTTATCAGGAAATAATTTTATAAAGCAGGATGGAACAATTTGTTAACTACAACAATATTTTCAAACAAAAAATAAATTATTAAACCACACGTTAAAGCAAGAAAAATGGAAATGTAAAGTTTAGCATATTCATTAGCAATTAAGAGGAAAAAAACATCCTGAATAGTCCAGGAAAGCCAAAGTATTCAAATAATTCAGCAAGGCTCTGTTGAAATGAATTTCTTATTTATTAAAAAGACAACACATTCTCAAGAGAGCATCTTCTGCAATGAAATAATTTAGTTTCTTCATACAGACACATCATACACAATGTTAACAACCATGAAAAACAATACAAAATGTTTTCAAATTTAACAAGTAGAAAAATATAACTAGATATATATGGCAATTGTGAATCTAATACTGTACAGAAGTATTTATGGATTTTACAAATAAATTATACTTTAAATGCCCTTTTCAATTTTTCTAACTGTACACTGGAACATAGGTTCTGAAGCTTACCACTAACTCACCACAAATGAGTGCCAGTCAAATGTCCTGCCCACAAGCTCAAAAAATTTCTTGTTGGGTTCATGGAAATATTCATGCAGTTTCTCCAGTAACCGGGTATCTACTTGTGGGTGTGCTCGTCCTTTTGACTCATGTAAACAGCGCTCTCTACCACTGTCCCTTAGGCAGTAGAAGCCTTTAGTTTTATTGAAATAAAAGTTTGAAGCATTTATCTGTGGTGATAACTTCAAAAATCTCTCTACCTTTTCTATTTCTGGGAAGGGATCTTTGATCAATTTATCCCCATCTACAATGTGGATATGATCAAGAGGAAAATACTTCAGCCAGTTCTGCATGTGAATGTAGTACAAGCTTCTGTTTATTGCCTTGTAGTCCACATTGAGTTCACCATCTTTAATCAGGAATTGTTCGATGGATGGATACGGCTTGTGCTTCTGCATGTGATTGTAGAACACTTGGGTGTAATCTGATAGTACTCTTTCACTTGGGTCTCTTAAAATAAGGAGTAGTCTCATTGACTGGTTCATGTTATAAACTCTTTCAGGCACTTTAGGTGATGTGAAATATGCTGGAGTTTTTTCCACGGTGATCTGATGGGGATTTGATTAATATACCACTGCAATCCATTTCTGTAGTGATCTTCCCAGTCAAAGAAGTGAACTTCACTTTCTGCTGCTGCAATATCTGGATGGAGACTCAACATCTCTAACAAAGCTCTTGTTCCACCTTTTCTCACTCCAATAATAATAGTCTGTGGCAGCTGCTGACATGATCCATTAGAATGAATGTTTTCCTTCAAGTCATTTTTCTGAGATGTTTTCTTTAAAAGCTCTCTCTGAACAGACTGAGAAGAAGTCTCAGCATTTGAATTTATAGCTGGTCTGGAAGGCACTATCTGAGGCTGAACAATAAGCAACACAGCTCCCAGCAGAAAAGCTGCCATGACAGAAGTTCTTAGTCTGGTTTCACTCAAGCAGGTAATTGGGCATAGAGTGATTTCCACCGAGAACAACCTTTAAAAGTTGTTTTTGTTTTGCTGAGTGAATGTGTATTTCTCAAGCAGAAACTTCGCTGAAAGAGGGAAAAGAAAAAACAGATTATTTTATATTCAGACATATCACTACTAAAGTCACACTGCAAATATCTTCTGCTTTTCACAACTGAACAAACTTTAGTTTTCCCAACTCTAGCCTCATAGATATTTTGGTGTAAATAAATGTTTTAAAAAACAGGCATAACAATGCCATGAGAAAATGATTTCCAGTCATCAGGAGATATAAACATTATGAATCTTTCTCTTGCACTCAAGATTCATCCAGAATGTTATTATTTTAACCTACAAGAAGAGGTTTATCTTAGAAACAGAGCATATAAAAGGAAAAGTTGTGAACTGGACAAAAAGAGCATTCTTAAAAAGGGGGGATATGTAGGATATCTGGGTATTACAGCATCCCAAAGAACCATGTGACAGCAATCTTAGAAGTCAAGCCTCCTGGGAAAAAGGTTTATGCTACATAGGTAGAGCTGCCCAACCATGACAAAGCAGCATTCTCCTGGGAAGAAGTTAGGAAGAGCTCTGGGTGAATAGAAGACCAAGGAAAAGTTGATCTTCTGTGTCATTTTTAAGTGAAGTTAACTTTTGCTTTGTGCTTAGGGTTTCTAAGGATAAAATAGGTGGTATGCAAGATAATGAAACCATAGACTATAGTATGACTGAATCAACATAACACTAAAAGAGTTGTGGTTCCAGTCCTGATCCTCAGGAAAGAAAATACACAACGGGTACTTCTGTAGGTCATTTTGAGAGTTAACCAGCAAGCTTTTGTGATGTAAAGAACTAACTTTAGACTTTGTCAAAAGACTACTAAATACCACCCCTGAACACCATTTAAAGGTCAGGGTGTTTTTAATGCAGTGTTTGAAGTGAAATTGTAATAGCCTCACACGCAGTTTAGCTGTTAGATTGTCACATTGTGAGCAGGCTGTGTACACAAGCTCCCTGAATTAAGATGCCTTTCAAAAACTTTATACCCTCAGTGAAGGGCTGGTGTATGACTTTGGTATGGTCTAACTCCATTTAGAAGTAAAAGCCACGATGGCTGAGCACTTGACTGCTTTGCCTTAGTAGGTTACTGTAATTATGAATTTAAGCTTGGAACAGCATGTACTGTACCTGCTAACAAGGGCTGAAATATGAAATTACATATGAACAACCTGAGGAAATGCAAGGGTTAGGTTTTGGAAATTCTCCAGAGAATCTGAAAAGAAACTAATGACTTTTCCACAATAAGCTAAGTCCCAGTGCAACAAGGACTAATGATGTGTTTCTAAGGGATCTAAAGTTCTGTTTGATAGCTTTGCATTTACAGAGGTCATGACTCCATCCTGAATGGAGCAGGTCTGCTTCCTGATGTTTGCTACTGATTATCGCTTCTGTGCTTTCCCTTTTTTCATTTTTAAAGGGCTACAAGCCAGCAATATTGTTAGGAAACAGAAATCAAAGCTGAGAAGAGAGGGAAGTAAAGTGTCATGAGAGATGGGAAGTCAAAAGAATGCCTCCCTCTATGCCTACAGGCTTTGAGCTCGTGGGCATGCCCTCTCTCAGGCAGGTCATGCCCTGTGCTGCTCTGTGATGTCTCATGTGAGGCAACTTTGCAGAGAAATTTGTTGTTTTTCCATTCTTGGCCACTGCTTTCTCTGGCTGTAAGTCATTTGGCTGCCGTTGTTAGTCTTCTGCTCTCTTTCCCCGTCCTCACCATTTCCGTTAATCTTTCTCAGCTTAATCTACTTGAGTTTTAACTAGAAACAGTCTTGATAGCCTCACACTGTGGATGTCGGTGGGGGGAGACACTGGGGGACAGGAAATTCGATACAGGTAAATTCATGGTGGATGTCCCCACTGAGCTATGCTGCGACCATATTCAGCAGCAATGGGAGCAAACAACACAGCACCAGCCAGATTGGATCAGTGACTGATGGGCAGCTCAGTACATAAGAACAACAAAACATCAACTCTTGCTGAATTTTAAGGTCACAGATTAAAGGAATAGCCACTTACTTCAGAGTATATTTTAAGTCACCAGCTCCATAAATAGCAGGCCTGAGTTGTTGTCTTAACACCTTATTGGAAAAGCATAATAGGATTCCAGGGAGGAACAGGTTGAACTGTCTTGAAAGGAGTTACATTAAAGCCTAATGGAGGGAACTCTTATTTTTTAAAAGTCAGACTGAAATGTGCTATTGCAAGTTCTGTGATAGACTGTATCTGGAGAGATTAATTTTTAGCTGCTGGCCTCAGATATTAGTGAAGACACATTTCTGGGTTAGTGGGTTTTGTTTGTTTGTTTGTTTTTGTTGTTCTTGGTGGGGTTTTTTTGGGGGGTTGGGTGGGGTTTTTGGTTTGGTGGTTTGGTTTTGTTTTTTTTTTTTTTTTTTATAATGAACTATATGTATCAATTCATTAGGAGTCTTAATTTATAATTCCTAGTTTGCATACTACTCAGTTGCCTACTTTTTTATTCAAGCCTTCCTGTGGCTGAGTACAGCACAGGAACTTTTGGAGAAAAGACACAGCAAGGTGTCTCTTAGCTGTAGCCCGTCTCTTGTTTTGGCCAGCATAGCTCTTTGAAATCAGACTCATGGGATATTACGGGTGTGGTACCTGGGGCCTCATCTCAGACAGCTTTTTGAGCCTCAGTGGAGCCCCGGCTCAGTGTCTTCCCATTCTTAACTCAAACACTTTTTCAGTGGAGAGCTTTTTCTAAATAAACAAAAGCAACTGTTTTCTTTTGCAGCATGAAACCTCAGAATAACAGGGGAATATCTTCTGTTTCAGGCATACAGAATTTCACTGTTCCTCCCCAGCTATTTGCTTAGGTGCACATATTCCACTGCAGAACACTGTTCCAGTATCTGTATCATTTACTTTATGCAGTCACAATGAACCATATTAGTAATTATGCCATTTAAAGTACCTATATGCTATTGTTGTTTTGTCTGCAAGCAATAAAGCTTTGTCTGCCTTTTCTTTCCATTCTGTTTTGTTTCTCCCAAACTGTACAGGCTTGATATCTGGATCAATTATTTTGTTGTGGTAGACTAATGCAACACAATGGACACGAGCGTGCCTCTAAATTCAGCACAAAACATATGTTGTGTGGGCAAAGTGGTCTCCAGGAATAAAGCAGCATATAAATTGGTTGTCATTCAGCTTTCACCTCTTATGTCCTCTTTAAGGTTTTATGTAGATCTGTAGCTTGGTGTCTAGAATTACAGCAGTTTATATAAAAGGATGCAAACGTATAGCTTTATAATTTGTGGGTCTGAAAAACTCTTTCAGCAATAATAAGCATGCACTAAGGAGTTTATAGCAGCCACTCTGCCAAATTACCTTTCTGCTTTAAGAATTCTCTTCACTGCATCCACAAATCACGCAGAGCATATATGACTTCATGACTTTGTATTCCAGATTAGTACAAAAAATTTCACTGGCAGTCATTACTATTGCCTTTGCTACAAGTAAATGAGCAAGTTGTAAAAGAAACACAGTTTATGTTAAATGGTGCTTTGACAATTATACCAAGACTTTTTGAAAAGTCTGATTGCTTTTGCTTAATCTTTTCTTCAGCTTTCCCCAATTAATTAGCAAAATGTGCTATCCTGTTTATTCAACAAGATTTCATGCGGACTTTGCCAATCAAATCAGTTTTTATGATTCAAATCTCTTCAGTATTAATAGTAACTTGGAAATAAATGGAAGCTTTTCTCAGTAAATGCAGTATGAGGGCCACAGCTGCCATATTTAATTGACTTTTAAGCATATTACAGTGCTCTTTGAAACACATGTTATGACTTTTGACTATTTCTTACCATACTATCAAGGTATTTCAATGCCTCAGTATATTTATCCTCACTCAATGACGTTGCCTAAACTACTTAGATTATGTATACTTTTTAGTTTAATATCCATTTAAAAAAAATAAGGTAGTTTTTGCTGGACTGATAACTTCATTTTTGCTGGGAATGGAATGGGATTAGATTTAGCTCTGAACTTTCATAAGAACCTTCAAGTTAGCTGTCCAAGTGGGTAGAAGGGAACATAAAGAGTGTTACAGGGCAGTCAGTAAGCATCAGGTAGAGTCTGCTGGCAGATAATTCCCAAAAAAAGGGCACAGCAACACACAGAGGTTTACTGGAACTAATGGGACACAGTTACCAGGACAGTAATAGGAGAGGGAGGATTACATCCTTTCCATAAGCATGCAGGTGACTCCACCTTCGTCAAAGAGAAGTTGTGTTTTTATGATTCTCTCGGGACTGTGGATGAACAGGCTAAGTTTCAAATGTCCTCACTTTCTCTCCTTGCAGAACTGAAGCCTTTCACTGGAAAGATGTCTACCCAGGCATCTCAAAAAAACAGATTCTGGCCTGAATGAAACCCATAGTTCAGTTACTAAAGTTTGTCTGTAGAGGGAGATTAGAGTTGAAAATCTAAGACATTCTGTTCATATAAAGTATATTTAGTTTTGCAGATGTGATAGAACCTCAGGACAGTTTGTGGACTGTATTTTCCCTTGCACATATTTCAGCACTCAGTACTGCAAAATATAAGACTAACATTGGTGGTTAAAAGTAGCTGTGCAGTACAACCCACACATCTGCTATGCTGGCTTCTCTTATCGGAAAAGCAAAATTCCCTTAACTGTGCTAACCAGCTCTACAAAAAACTTTCTAAACTGATGAACAGTCAGTGATCTGAACATTTGTATTCGGTGATGTATTTAAAAAACTTGAACTAGATCAATTGCAGTGTACTTGAAATTCTTCAATAACTCATTGATATGAACAGTATAAATTCCTTTCCACTAAGAATAGACTGTGTCCACCACAGGATATATTCCTTAGTTGTTTATATGAGCTCATCAAGTGCCACTTTGTATCCTGTTAACATAAAACTCCCCAGTACAGCTATCACTTAAAACTCAATCAAGAGCAGGAAAGGCTTTCTTTTTTAAATTTAACTTAATTTATGAAACGTGTTTTTTCCCAGATATATATTCTGCATTTTGCTATTTTTAAATATTAATCTGCCTCACAATACCCTCTTCACGAAGAAACACTTTCTCTACTACCTCCCCATATGTGTTTTTTAATCACATTTAACACAAATTTTAAAAAGCATGTCAATGAAATACTTGAATTCTAGTTTCCTGTAATTAACTACAAGTAATTGCCTACATTAGTGTGTGCTACAGAGACAAGTATAATAAATTAAATAGAACTACATACTACTGAAACCGTAGATCTCTAGGGGCATAAACTATTGATCACCTCATGATATATAAAAAAAAGTCATTTGGGCATTAAGAGGGGACATAAAATAATTGAGTATATGAACCTGTCTTACAGTGCCTAGATGATACTGTCTAGGTACATTTCCCAAATTATATTAAAACTTCTGCACAGCCAGTAGAGATTAAACCATGGCTTTAACTTTTATAGTCAGCATGTTAGGAAATCTAATCATAATTTCAGTTCTATTAGGATGATATATTGTCTATGAGCTCTAAGACTTCAAAACTTCGAGACTTTTAAAGTGTATTTCTGGTCAGAGGAACTTCACGAGCTGAGAAAGGTTGACTTGGTAGGAAGTATTTTTGGCTGAAATCTGCTGTATTTCTGCACCTGCTGTGATAAATACAGTTTATGCAAATTAGCTAGGCCAGCAGTTCATGACTTCTAAAGAAGGAGTTCAGCTCCAGTGTGAGCAATAAGGTAGCAAATTTATAACAGACTGTGGTTATATATAACATTCACTCTTTTTCTTGAGGTCAGAAGGGACCATTTCAGTCTTTCATGCCAAGAGATCATAAAAATTTTTGGAAGAGAGAATACCCTAGATTTCAGAGAACCTCATGCAGGTAAAAAATAAAATGGGACATTACAGTAGAATAAAAATAAACTTGAAAAGCTCAGGATGCACAGAATTTTTTGTACTGAATGCTAATATGGAATCCCCTTACCAACTTCTAGTAATTTTTTTAACAACTGTCAAGATTCATTTTTTTTCATAAAGTGGGTACACTCTACCACTGCCTTCTCTGTCCCCCCATAAACCCAAATGCTCAATTCAAAATCCAGAAACTACTCGCCACCCCACTTTCCAAGCAAAATGGGTCACATTCTAATTAGGAAGCAGAAATCTATTGCACAGTTAATAGAGTTGCTTCCTAATTCATCACAGCTATCCTCAAGAAAACAACCTGTGTGAAAGGATGGCTCTGTCCTGTCTGGCTCCCTTTCTGTACAAAGGCTCACCTTAACTGGATGTATTAAAATAGGGAACACAGCAGACTAAGCAATTCCATTCTCATTTCCCCTGCCAAGCAATTTCTCACCACTCTCTGTAGCTGTGGGCTCTGTATCAAATACTAATAAGATATTTAAAACAACAAAAACAAAACAAATAAAAAAAACCCCAAACCTCCAAATAATCTTTTAGTTCATATTCCAAGTAGATTTCTGTGTCTTCCACTCTCCTGCCTTCAGAATAATACTGGAGCACAGTACATACTAGTGAGGTCATCACTGTATTAGACTTAGCTAAACCAATCAATTTACTAAGCGAAGCACTACACAGTGACCTGGAGAGAACCCTCATGCTCTGGAGTGACAAGTGAGATGACCCAGCAGGATCTCCCATCTTGGACTGCCTTAGCATATTACAGTTTTCTTTTTCTTATTATCAAACTTTTAATGGAAATTCGTCAGTTTTAACATATTTTTCAACTCTGATAGCTTATAAGCTATGGGTGGCATTTCTAGAAGGAAGAGAGAGATTCCAGGCTAGTCAGGCTAATAAAAACATTCTTGGTTTCCTCTAATGAAAAGCAGAAGAGTTCTATGAATATGTATATATTATACCCATTCTGTTTTTCTGTAATGTCTGTGTAAGCATATAGCTAGTTCAGAATAACACAGGTAGTACCCTGACAAGGGGAGGGACATAGATGGGAACTTGGCAGTCGTGGGATTGGAATTTGCTCTGTCAAATTAGTGTCTCTCCACTGCAGTAGCTAGCTTTGCTTCAGGTGCATAGTCTTGCTGCTGACCTACCAGAGGCATTGGTTTGGGTACGCACTATCAAAAATCTCAGCATTTTCCGAATAGGGGAAAAACCAAAACAGGGGGTATTGAAAGGGTGGATGTGCAAGACATAGCTGAAGTTGATGTCAGTGACTGTGCTCTTACTGAAAGGTTCTCATTTCTGAGCAATGTGGGAAATGCACTTGCTCGAGAGTACAAGAAATGCTAGCAGATGTAAATTACATTACATTACATTACATTTTGTAAATATAAATGTAACAATTACATTTATATTTACAAAATAAGTTTGATAGCCAGACAGTACACAGGCACTCACCAAACTGAACCTGTTCTACTCATGTTCACTTGCCATACATACTGCAGAGGCTCTCAGTGGGAATGGGCAATGAGTGGATCTCTCACGCCAGAAAGATGCTCCCTGCAGACATTCCATCTCCATGCCATTCAAGCACGGGGATTTCTAGAACTTCTCCGATATTTTTGTCTGCCCCAGTATCCAAAGAGGAACAGTCTTGAAACAGGGAAAGCCCTCAACCTACTGCACTAACATAGAGGAAGGAGAATCATATACTTTAATTCCCAGTCAAGTGAGGTGATTGAATTGCCTGTACTTAGCTGTGTGCCCTTTCCTGATCTTTTCACCGTCTGGCTGAAAGACGAGACCAAATCAGAACTCTTCCAGCCGGGGTCTGCCACGGCTCCCTTCCACATCCTTTTGCCCCCAAAAGATTTGACCTGCACGCACACATTTATCCCTGGAAAGCACACTGAGAACTGCAGGAAGCAAGCCTTCCCTGTACTATTCTAGGAAGCCAGTCCTTCAAGACAGAAATGAGCAGGAGTTAAGGTTGTACCCTCCGGACCAATCCCCAAAGACCGGTCTCCCTGCAGCCCCAAGCAGCTCGCCAGGTTCCAGTTCAGCACGCTGCATCCAGCCGGCTCCAGCATACAGCGTGGGAACGGTTCAAAGATGCTCAGCGGAGCTTTTGCAAGTGTTCTCCTGTCAGGTAGGAGCCCCGCACGCTGGCACCCCGCTTCGACAGCCCTGCCACTGTGCCCTTACGTGTGCCTGTCATTTAGCCACAGGCGAAAGATGATGAAAAAGCGCCCCAGGGGCCACACCTGGCCAGGTAATGCCAGAGGTAATTCCGGCCGCCTTGCTTTTTCTCCCCTCCTTTCTCTCCTTTCCCCTCCAGCTGCCTCCCAGACAGCGCTGCCTCCCAGACCCTGTCTCGGCGAGTACAGAGGGCGCGGGGCAGCGCCGCGGGTCCCTCCCGGTGCGGTTCACTGGCACCGCACGGCCGGGCGGCCGCGCTCCCCAGCCCCGCAGCGGCGCCGTGCGGCGCTCGCCTCCCGCGGCCGCGGGGCTCCCACCTGCCGCCAGCAGGTGCCGGGCGGGCGGCAGCGCCCCGTGACAGCGCCTGTGCACCCCCGGCGATCCACGATCGCCCCGGCACCCTCTTCCACCCCGAAAACTTTCCGCTCTGCGCAGGGCAGCACCCGGCGCGCCGATCCCTCCCCAGCTCGTCACTCACCGCCGGGGCGCGGGGCCGTGGGGCAGCGCTCGCCCCGCTGTTCCATGGGCGCCCGCAGGTGCCGGCGGAGCCGGAGGAAGCGCGCCCGGCAGCGGCGAGCGGCGGAGCGAGCCGAGGACCGACGGAGCTCCCGCTGCCGCCGCGTCCGCCCGGCAGCGCCGCAGCCGGAGCCCGGTGCCTGGCGCCGGCCCGTTTGTACCGCCCCGCCCCGCCCCGCCCCGCCCCGCCCCGCGCCACCGAGAGACCCCGCCCGCCCGCGGCTCTGAGCCCTGCCCGCTGCGGGCACCGCCGGGTGCGGGCGGTGGGTCGGTGGGGTGGGCAGCATCGCCGCGTGCCTGTGCCTGTGTGCACACCCATGTATGTGCCGACATAGTAGTTTACCCAAATAATATCACAGGCTTTGGGAAACAAATATCTATCCGCAGAAGCACCCCCAGTGTCCCCCCTCCCCTCCATCCCCACAGCATCCTGAGTTGGAAGGGACTCGCAAGGATCAAGGAGTTCCAACTTCTTCGATTGCCTCCTTCCCGTACCTACAAAAATAACACCCACGAGAGGTCGCGTGAATAACAGAGTGATAGCACTTGTATTTACTTCTTCTACTTCTTGTTTATTTTCTTGGGACTTTACAAGGTGGCTCTGATTTTTTTTTTCTTTTCCCTGAAATGCTTTCTGTTGATGAATTTAGGATGGATGTCTAGAATGACAGAAATGCTGCTTCCTAAGAGCAGTGGGGAAAAGGCCTTCTGGGGATTTAAGTCATAGGGTTAATTTATTGAAATAGGTCTGTATTTGCCATGAACTGAAATGTGTTTTTTTTAAGATAAAATGCATTAAAACCGGAATTATCATACTGCATCCATTATTTCAACAGCCAAACTCTTGAAATTTACTGTGAGTAAAATGCAGGCCCAAACAACTAAAAAAAAAAAAAAACCAAGAAAAAAGAAAAGAAAAAAGACTGATGAGGGAATTAATTTCTCAGTTGATTTTGATCAGTTCCATACAGTCTGACTGATCTGACAGAGTATTTCCAAAGAAGATCAATTAGCACTGATTGTACACAGGTCTTAGTGTTGTTTGCCTGAAGAGGTAACTTCTGTTTCAAACTTTTACTTCTTTTCTGTAGTTTTACTTCTCTAACTTTGCTTGGAAAGAATAGTTGCTTGTACACGAGCTTGCTTTGAGAGCTGCTGTTCTCCAATGGCACATGCTTACATTGATTTAGGGTTTGATGTTTCAATTTCCATCTGCATTGGTGGAGCTGTTTGCAAAAGCATTGCAGGACTGGGCTCTCACTGTACAAGTACACCAGCCAGATATTTTCCATCCTTCTACTAAAAACTGTTTCTGTGGCTGTTGTATGGGGACTGGGAGGTTGGTGGGAGCTGGATCTAGTCAACTTAGAATGGTCTCTTTAAATAAGCAGTGGATGAGAAAGGCTTAAATCACCTCTCTAATCTTTGACAGGACATTGGTTAATATTCCTGCTGAAAGCAGACTAATGGGAGGTTTGCAGGATACTATAAAATCATGGAATCAAAGAACGGCTTGGGTTGGAAGGAAGCTTAAAGACCATCCAGTTCCAACATCCCTGACATGGGCAGGGACAACATTTGCCAAACCAGGTTGTTCAGAGCCCCATCCAACCTGGCCTTGAACATATCCAAGGATTGGCACCCACAACTTTTCTGGCTAACCTGTTCCAGTGCCTCACCATCCTCACAGTAAAGAATTTATTCATGATATCTAATCTGAACCCACTCTCACTTACTCTGTAACCATTCCGTCTCATCCTGTCACTACACACTCTTGTAAATAGCCTCTCTCTTGTAGGCTCCCTTCAGGTACTGGAAGGCCGAAATTAGGCCACCCTAAAGCCTCCTCTTTTCCAGGCTGATCAAACTCAGTTCTCTCAGCCTTTTCTCACAGGAAACGTGATGAATCCCTCTAATCATCTTGTTGGTCCTCGTATGGACTTGCTCCAACAGGTCCATGTCTTTCCTGTGCTGGGTACTCCAGGGCTGGACACAATACTCCAGATAGGGTCTCACCAGAGGGAAGCAGAGAGGCAGAATCACCTCTGTTGACCTGCTGGCCATTCTTCTTTTGATACAACCCGTAATTATGGTTAGCTTCCTGGGCTGCAAGCCCGTATTGTCAGCTCATGTCCAGCCTCTCATCCACCAGCACCCCCAAGTCCTTCTTGGCAGGGCTGCTCTTGCTCTTCATCCCCTGTATTGATATTGGGGGTTGCCTTGCCCCAGGTCTTGTTAAATGCTATGAGATTCCCATGGGCCCACTTCTTGAGCTTGTCCAGGTCACTCCGGATGACATCCCATCCTTCAGGTGTGTCAACTGCACTGCTTGGCTTGGTGTCATCTGCAAACATGCACTCAATCCCTTCATCTGCGTCATTAGTGAAGATATTAAATAATGCTGATCTCCATACAGATCCCCGAGGGACACCACCTGTCACTGATGTCCATTAGGACTCTGAGCCATTGATGACTACACTCTGGATGCGACTGTCCAACCAATTCCTTTTCCACCAAATAGTCCACCCACCAAATCCATCTCTCTCCAATTTAGCAAGAAGGATGTTGTGACAGTCCATGTCAAAGGCTTTACAGAAGTCGAGATAAAGGGCATCTGTAACCCTTCCCTTGTTCATTGATGTAGTCACTCCATCACAGAAGGCTACTAGGTTGGTCAGGCAGGATTTGCCCTTAGTGAAGCTGTGATGACTGTTTTGAATCAATTCCCTGTTCTCCATGTGCCTTAGCACAGTTTCTAGGAGGAACTATTACGTGATCTTCCAGGAACAGAGGTGAGGCTGATAGGTCAGTAGTTCCTGGGTCCTCCTTTGTACCTTTCTAAAAGATGGGTACAATATTTCCCCTTTTCCAGTCAGCTGGGACTTCATCTGGATGCCACGACTTTTCAAGTATGATGGATAGTGGCTTGGCAATTACATCAGCCAATTCCCTCAGCGCTCTGGGATGCATCACATCAGGTCCCAGAGAGATGTGTATGCTTGGGTTCTTCAGGTGGTCATGAACCTGATCTATACTTGCAATGGGAAGGCCTTTGCTCCTCCAGTCCCCATCCTGCTGTCCATCCACTTGAGAAGTGTGGGAAGAGCAGTTGCCATTGACAACTGAGACAAAAATTGGTTGAGTACCTCAGCTTTCTCCTCATCTGTTGTTAAGAGTTTAACAGCATTATTTATCAGGTGGGTACCCCTTCTTTGACCTCTTCAGCAGGGGTACATCTTCTCTGACCATTGGGTGTGACTTGCTCACTGTTCATTTACTCCTTGGGTGCAGGGCTCTGGAAATGTCAGGTCACAGTTACTGCACCAAAAAACAGCTTAGCGCACTAATGCCATGCAAAAATGTTCATATTGTAAATTATCTTAAATCCTTTTCCTTCAGCCTTGGCCTGTGCTGATATCATAAGAGGAGCCAAAGCAATAAATTATGGAACTCTGTTTTCTAATCATGACTTCTATTGAGGGAAGCAGAACAAAATGCTATGTTTGTTTAAGTATCACCAGCAATTTCAAATGGATTACAGGAAGTAGGTGTGTGTGTGGAGTTATTTTGTTTACAACTGTTTGTCTGCCTCCAGCCTTGAATAGGCATACTTTTTCATGGCTAAATTAATTAGTTAAATAAATATGTAATAGAATGTCTAAGGAATGAAAAGTACTCAGTTATGTTTTAAAAGGAGTATCTCTAAATCAAATCTTGTATAAGGTTTTCAAGAAACAAATGCAACTATTTAAGGAAAAATAGGATGGTATAACAATAAATGTATTTTATTTTATATTTTGCATATTTAATATTTAAAATGTTTCCTGTATTTAAGACTACTATATCATTTCAATGTAATTTTTTTAGCACCAATAGAAATACGCAAATACTTTACTTTTAATTTTTTAAGATAGAAATAGAACATTACACGAGTATTTACTAAAAAAACCCAAACAATAGTAGTCTTTTTGCTTTGCATTTTAATGCCTTCATGTATGTTTTATTATAAACCTGATAGTCTAATGGAGAAATACATTTATTTACAATTAGCCTTGCTGTTTAACCCTGTTATTTATGGCATGACAGTGGGTTTTGATTTTCTTTCAAAGAGGTTGAAACCAAAAAGCTTAAATGTTGTTCAACTGCTATAGACCTGCACAATTCAGTCATAAGGGATCACTGTTTCTTCCCTGTGAAGGTACCTAGATCAGATACCATAATACCCATCTCATGTTTAATATGCAGTGTTGATATAAAAGAATGAAAAGATGAAAAATTCACCATTTCTTTAGGTATTTTGTTCCAATCATTAACTATCTTTGGTGTCAAAATAATAACAGAAAACATATGTGTACCTTTTAATCTGAAGGTATCTAAGTGTACCTCCAAGCCATTGCTTTATATTATCACCTTCCCAGGTAGATTAAAGATATGTTTTGCCCAAAAACATACTTCCTTATTCTAATTAAGTCACTTCTCAGCATTCTTTTTTTTGTTTGTTTCCTTTTGATAAGCTAAACAAAGTGATCTCTTGCAGCGTCTCAAAAAAAGGCTAAAGAAAGTCTAGATTTAATTACTTTTCTTCACTTTTCACAAGTTTTCATCAGTGAGTGCAATACTGATGCCTAATATTCACAATGGAAGCATTTTCACAATGTTTTGATAATGAATCCCAATTGCCAACAAGGTTTCAAGATCTACTAGTTATTCAGTTCTTAAGCTATTTCAGGTATGTTTCATTGTCATGTAATCCTTAGTTTTTAAATTCAAATGTTCTAAGTGACTAAATCTAATGCTTTATGAGAGTATAGGTCCATTCTGCCTGCATACTTCTCTTTATCAAGCAAATTTATAATTTCCTCGAAGTAAATTTATTTGACAAGATGGTGGTAGTGTCTCTTGAACTGTGGGATAAGAGAAAGTGACACTAAGTTGATATGTGCTGTATTTTTATTTGGTTGATGGAGTAATGACTAATTTAGAAAAAAGAAATGAGAATTCTTAAAGTCAAAAGAATGAGA